AATCGGAAAAAATGACTTCAATTTGCTAGGGAGCATAAAGACTGGACTGTGGAGCAATGGAAAAAGGTCCTGTGGTCTGATAAAATCAGATTTACCCTATTCCAAAGCAATGGGCGTGTCAGGGTAAGAAGGGAAATGCATGAAGTGATTCACCCGTCATGCATAGTGCCTACTGTACAAGCCTCTGGAGGCAGTGTTAGGATCTGGGGTTGCATCAGCTGGTCAGGTCGAGGCTCAGCAACATTGTGTGGCAATAAAATGAAGTCAGCTGAGCACCTGAATGTACTGAATGACCAGGTTATCCCATCCATGGACTTTTTCTTCCCTGACGGCACAGGCATATTCCAGGATGAAAATGCTAAGATTCATCAGGCTTAACTTGTGAAAGAGTCGTTCAGGGAGCACGAGGAATCATTTTCGCACATGAATTGGCCACCATAGAGTCCTGACCTTAACCCCATTGAAAGTCTTTGGGATGTGCTGGAGAAGACTTTACGGAGTGGTTAGACTCTCCTGTCCTCAATGCAAGATCTCAGCCAAAAATTAATGCAACTCTGGATGGAAATAAATGTTGTGAAGTTGCATAAGGTTGTTGAAACAATGCCAGGATGAACGCGTGCCGTAATCAAAGCTAAATGCAGTGCAACAAAATATTGTGATTTTGTGATATTGTGACAAAAGATTGTGCGATTTTTTTTTTGGCCAGGCAGTGTATTTAATAAACAATGTTGCTTATAATAATTTTGCCATCTTTTTGCCAATTATTGCTCTAAGTGTTGTTGGAGTAATTGTGCTGTATGTGATTTATTTTATTCCTCTGATTAGCTCCTCCTCACAGTCCCCCAGTAAAGCATGCTACACCTGTGATGTTAACGACTGCTCAGGAACAGTGGACTGTGTGGGGGATCAAAATTTCTGCATTTCTACCTTGGGTGAAGCTAGCTTATTTTAACCTCTGCATGTAACTCAAATTCATTTGAAATGTTTTTATGACTTTATCCAAAAGAAGATAAAAAGAAGCTGATGCACGTTTTCCTTTGCTGGGACATGTAGGGGAAATGGGTTATACAGGAAGCACCAAATGCAAGGTCCATACCAGCACTAGAGGTGCTTCACTGTACATTTAATGAATCATTCTCATACAGTAATCAGTCTCATACAATGATCCCCTTTACAAAATGGAATTGTAATTAAAAAAGAAAATCAAACTTTTAAATATATCAAAAATGATTAAAACGTAAAATTTAACTGAGAGCAAAAATAATCAGTGACATTCTGAAGGCTTACTTCTGAATAGTTTGGGTTCTTGCAATATCAATATAATAACCACAACAGGATAATAAAATGGGTTTTATTGAAGTATCGGGAAATAGAGAAACACCAGTTAACTACTGACTAACTTTCAAAATCTAATTCTAAATAGTGACAAACGAAAAGAAAGGATTTGTGTGTGTGTGTGTGTGTGTGTTTGCATGCATGTGCGTGTGAGAGAGAGTTTGTGTTCGTCTCTAGGTGTGGATGTGCACTCTGTCCTAGACAGTGTGTGTCAATGTGCGCATTCGTGCTAAGCTTGTGGGAGTGTATTCATGGCCGTGCTTCCTTGTGTGTGAAACAGGAGAACTACAAGGAAAGAAATATGATGTGGAGTTCAAAGACTCTACACGTGGTGGAGAGCAAGCGATAGAAATTATAAGGAATGTTAGTATAATGAAATAAGTTGCATAGTACAGTAACGTTAATGAGAATAACTTTACAGAGTTTGGAGCTTTGAGAAAAAAAATGCAGCTCACTAAGTGAGTGTGAGATTGCAGAGCAACCAGACTGAGATTGCATGCAAAGATAAGAGAGAGAGATCAGAGGGGGAGGGGAGATTCACAGCGGTGTGCCCGATTTGCTGTCTAAAAGAATGCTGACTCTTTAGGCGGTTTACACAACACGTACTAAGCAATATCTTTACCTGCGAAGATGTACCTTCCTACTTGAGTTCGAGCTTGTCATGTGGCGTGAGCCTCTGAAGCTGGGCTTTGTGTGCTCTGAATGAAAGGTGATGCAGTCTTTAGAAGAGTTGTGCTCGTGCGGAGAATCAGTCAAGGATTCGGCCTGAATAAGTGGCCATGCAGTGCGTTGAGTTTGTCTTCATGCAGATTTGCAGCTTTTCAGGTTCATTAGTCATGGCTTCATTTCCTTGTGCAGTTCAGTCAAATTATAACTTGCAGAGGTCCGGCCTCTTTGGAGAGGAAAGGTGTTGTGGTTCCAAGTACATTCACTGCTTTCCTTACATTCTTAGTAGGATAATTTAGCACCTCTCACATCGAAAAAAAAAACGTTGACAAAAGAGACCGGTATGCCTTATATTTTCCTCAAATGAACTTCGTTAATATTACACAAATAAACCTGAAGTGATATTTAATCAACACTGCTCGTAATAATAATGTTATCTTTTTTAGTACATCTTTCAAACCACCCTTTCTATTTTAAATTTGTTATTTAACATGTTAGAAAGACAGCAAGAGATCAAATACAAATGAAGACTATTGTGTTTTCGTTTCGACGTTTTCATTACACCTGTTTTTCTGCCACCAGGGCAGAGGTCACAGTACAGTAATGCAGCAAGTGTGAAAATGTGAATACACTTCCTATGAATGCTGAACATATCATTCTGTGGTTTGTGGTTTCTCTGTCATACAAGCAACACTAAATTCAAGAGAGAGAAAATTATTATTATTATTATTATTATTATTATTATTATTATTATTATTATTTCCAAAACAATTCGTTTGTGGTTTGTGGTTTCTCTGTCACACAGGCAGCATTTTTTGTCTATTAACTATTATTATTATTAATTGTGGAGGGTTGATAGATGGAAGCCCTACCTCACAAAAATAAAACATCCAAGCCTGCCTAAATCACCCAAACCATGTGGCAAAATGTGTTATATTCTGATCAAACCAAGGTAGAACATCCATCCATCCATCCATCCATCCTCTGTACCACTTATCCTACACAGGGTCATGGGGGAGCCTGAAGCCTATCCCAGGGGACTCGGGGCACAAGGCAGGGGACACCCTGGACGGGGTCCCAACCCATTGCAGAGCACAAATCGCACACATATACATACACTATGGACAATCTGGAAATGCCAGTCAGCCTACAACACGTCTTTGGACTGGAGGAGGAAACTGGAGTGCCCAGAGGAAACCCCTGAAGTATGGAGTGAACACACAGGGTGGAGGTGGGATTCGAGCCCCCTACCCTGTCGGTGCAAGGTAAACACGCTAACCACTAAGCCACCGTGCCCCCTGAGGTAGATGAGATTTGGTGCAAACACTATTCTTCTTCTTCTTCTTATTATTATTAATTAACCTTCAAAACCATTGTAGGCTGAGTTACTAGCCGTGAGCTGATTTGCTGATCTATACTGTGAATGCTAAATATAAACTATTATCATGTGTTCATTGTAAAGGGGCCATAATAACTCATCAGTTAAATCTGAATAAAAGAAAAAACAAAAACGGTTTTCCTTTAGCAAAAGACCTTTTGTTTAGCACTGTACAATAGCAAAGTCATTTCAAAGAATGGGCGAGATCAAAGTAATGATATTGAAAAGAAATGAACGTAAAGCAGGATTAGGGATTGTGTAATACATCCCTCCCTCTGTGCATCCACCCCACTGTCCATTACTACAAAACTGCACGTCTTTCACCTGCTTCATGTGAAATCCTGCTTCACCTTCACCTCCTCAGCCTCTCCAATCCAACGACAGTGAAGTTCCAACTTACACTGCTGCTCATCTCTATGCTTTTCTCTGAAGGTAAGAAATGTCACATTTTGTGAGTGGAGTTTTAAGTGGAATTCATTTGAGAAAAAAAAAACAGTAATTCCTTGGTGTATGTTGTTTATCTGGTGGTATGATTTTTATTTGTTTTTCTTTCAGTGTTATCGTTAATGTGTCAGCAGTGCATTTCATTGGGAATCATACCATGCACAAGTACACAGATAAACTGTTCAAACCAGTGTGCAAGTGCAACTGTTTCTGTGTACACAAGTAAGTGAATGTATATACGTTTTGTATATATATGTTTTCCTTATATGTAAAGCATACATCAAGGCCCACAATATCATATGTAATGTGTAAATTAAAAATGCATCAATACTGATAATGCTACCCAAGCATCGGTCTGATACGGTGTTCATTTACTTGTAAAAATGTTCCGCTACTCACATCCGATGCCATGTGGTACTGTACTGTGTGACGTAAGCCTAGTTTACTTTGTCAAATTTCATGATTAATAATTAAATCAAAAGCAAGCGAACTGTGAAATAAAGTTACTCATTTATTTGAAAAAATAGTATTGATATATTCCTAATATAAATAGAAATTTAGTAAGTACAAGTACATTTACCTATCACTGTGGCATGTGTAATGTTTTACAGGTGTTACAAAAGTAATAAATGTTAGTATGCAGACTTGCAGCATGCCAGACATGTGTGTAAATGGAAGCCTAAACACAGGAACAGTGAACCTGATCAATAGTGCCAAATGCTGCAGCACTGATCTCTGCAACAACGAAACACTTCCAGGTAAAACAAAGCTCAAATCTCATTCTCGAAAGGTTTAGATCAGGAGAGGGGGGCAAAAGAATTTCCAAAACATTAGATCTACCATGGATCACTGTGAAAGCCATCGTCAACAAGTGGAGATATTGGGTCACCACAGTGACATCACCAAGAACAGGATGTCCCTCCGAAACTGATGAAAGGACAAGAAGAAAAGCCATCAGGGAGGCGGACAAGAGACAGCAACGTTAAAGGAGCTGCAAGAATATCTGGCAAGGACCGATCACTCCCTGCATGTGACAACAATCTCTCGTATTCTTCACATGTCTGTGCTATGGGGTAGGATGAAGAGACAGAGACCCTTTCTCATGGAGAACATCCAGGCCACCTAAATTACCCGAAAACTGTGTTATTGTCTGATGAAATCAAGGTAGAACCTTTTGGTCATAATTATAAAAGATATGTTTGTGCAAAAGCAAAACAGCATATTACCAAAAGAACACCATGCCCACGCTGAAGCATGGTGGTGGCAGCATCATGCTATGGGGCTGCTTCTCTTCAGCAGGGACTGGGGCTCTAGTACAGATAGAGGAAATAATGGATAGAACCAAATACAGAATGATCTATTTTGGCACAAAATCTGCCCCTTTTAGGCTGCTGAAGTAATGTTAACGGCACAACGCACAAATCAAGTCAAAGGAATGTCTTTAGGAGAAGAAGATCAACGTTTTGGAATGCCGCAGTCAGAGCCCAGATCTGAATCCGATTGAAACACCTGTAGAATGACTTGAAGAGAGCTGCACAGGAGATCCCCTCACAATCTGACACATCTGGAGCATTTTTTCAAGGAAGAGTGGAATAAAATTGCCAAATGAAGATGTGCTAAGTTGGTAGACCTTTACCCAAAAACATTTAGTGCTGCATTACAAGCAAAAGGTGCTTTAAAAAAGTATTAGTTAAGGGGTGTGCACACTTGTGCAAGCAGATTATTTTAAAACCTTACCATTTGTTTTTCACTTGATGTTGTTGGTTGCTATATCTCATTAAAGCTGGGAAAAGATCTGACATTATTTCGCTTTTTTTTTGTTTTTTTCTCACAAATCTCACCTGCAATTTTAACAGGGGTGTGTACAATTTTTATATTCGCTGTAACTATCAGTGATATTAACAGAGAGCTTATTTATTTCACATTCAAAATTTAAACTTAATTATTTTATCTTGAAATAAAATAATTGTTTGTTACTTGTACATTGTTTGCATGTTAGCAGGCTTGTGTCCTATTAATCGGTATCAAAGTGTGTATATTTGTTGTTGTTACATTCGGCTGAATCAGAAAAATTAGATGAAGTTGAGATTCATAAGGAGTATTTCATCTCTGATAACAATGGAAATTATGCATATTTATATTTATATTTTATAGTCTAATGGTAATGATTATTGTTGGACAGTGTACATAATGAGATACTTGATTGACTTTATTGTTTTGTTAAGCTCCGCCACAGCAGTCCCCCAATGGCATGATGTGCTACACATGTGATCCTAAAGGCTGCTCGAGAACGTTGAGCTGTGTGGGAGATCAGAATTTCTGCATTTCTATGTCAGGTGAATATTGCTTATTTCAATCACTGGATTGAACTCAGACAGGTTGAAAAAAAAAAATAAAAGAGGAAAATGCAGATTTTAATTTGCTGCTGGGTGATTGGCTGAAAAACAAAAACAAATTGACCAATCTGATATGATAATAAATTCCTACAAGTATAAATGAACAAAGGTTGCGTGCTCTCATTCGATTTCACGAATTATGGTTTAAATTTTTTTTTTACAGATTCCACCCAACCCATAACCGTCAGAACTTTTCATACGACTTGGCCTGTGCTCTCTGTTATAAATTTCAGAATGTGAAACTGTGATGACTCACTCTTAAAGTGATCCTTGCCCTCTTGGTCTTCTTTAGGCATAAACACGTGCGGTGATATATATGATAACCAGGGCCTCTGTTCATTTCAGACATTAAGAACTACGTTTTGTTTACCAGCATCCGCATATTTTGTCTTTCTTCAATTACGTTCTGCTCTCAAAGCGTATGGAGTTCCTTGGGCATCTCCCATTTCCTCTCATCCTATGCGGGATTGGATTGCACCATCTTCTGGTCAGCCATCTGTTTCCTTAATATATAATATAATTATTGATTGCATTACAAAACCTCTTTCTATCAAATCTATCTGGAATCGGGAATTATCTGACCTTAATTTATCTGTCGACTGGGAGAAAGTGTGGTCTAACCTCAGCTTAACTTCTAATAACTTGGCTCATCGTCTAGAGCATACATAACTCCTTACAAAAGATTGAAAATGAAACTACAACCAAATTTTAACTGCCATATATGTAATACTGCATCATCAGGTACTTTTCTTCATATGTTTTAGGAGTGTCCTATCGTCATTAAGCTATGGACACATGTAAACCTGGTTTTATCCTCCTTACTACAAATTGATTACTTTACTAACCCAAGTTTATGTCTTCTTAATGATGATTCTGGTCTCTGTATAAGCTTAATACAAAAGAGAATGTTGTTTGCTGGTTTTTACGGCTGCGAAGAAGACAATAATACAGAACTGGTTTACACCGCACATGTGTGGAAAAACATATTGGATCCATAGCCTCCTGAAAATAGTGACTTGTGAATGTACAACAGCACGAATTAATAAGGCCAAACCTAGTGCTATTGATGCTTGGCAATGTTTTTCCTTTAACATACTCGATTATATAAAGGAATGATTTGATTTGTTTTTTTTCTTTTTTCCCTCCCTTTCTCTCTCCTTTTTGACTGGACTCTTTAAATTATTGATTATATGTCTGTTGTTTTTTTTGTTTTGTTTTGTTTTGCTTTGAATGGATGTTATGATGTTATGTTATATGTAAAAGACAATAAAAAGTTGATCACAAAAAAAAAGTGACCCTTAAAGTTAAATTTTTTTTTTTTAAGTAAGGAATAAAACACCACATGTTGTGTTATGAGAAAATAATCAGTGATGTTACGGTGTGATAAAGTGGAGATACTGTTACCACCAAAAAGTTGATTATTTTCCCATAACAGCACATCCCATAACATTTTATTCCTCTTACATGACAATTTGCCAAGACTAACCCTTTTTTATTTATTAAACAGCACATCACCACATATTTTTTTATCTGCTTATAGTAACATTTCTTTTTTGTGAAACAAGTTCGTTCCTGTTACTTTTTAGCAGCTATAAACAGTCATTCCCTCAACTGCTCTCTCTTTTTCTCCTTTGTCCTGTGGCAAAGAAAACTTTATGCTGTGTATATATATATATATATATATATCTCCAGTAATGTACAAAAGTTTTATAAAGAAAAAACAAGAAACACTTCTACAGATACACCTGGACTAAAGAGCAGTTAACAGTAGGAAAAAACAATGCAAATCTATATTTGGCGTGACCACACCCTGCATTTCAAACTGCGTCAGTTCTACGATGTACACTCATGTTGTTTAATAAGGAAATTAGCTGTCTTTTTTTATCATGCATCTTGGAAAACCTTCCACAGATCTCCTGAACAACACTATGTTTTTATCTAAAACAGCGCTACATAAAATGCTACTTTCTTTAATAACATTCAAACATTTCTTGTTTATGGAAAGTAAATGGAAACCTAAAATTTGCTTTTTCTGCTTACACACTCATGCTTCTGCATGACACAAAATAAACATCTAA